TGGAACATGAAATTGGTAGCTTTGTAAGTTTTTTTTCTTTTTTTATTTGCTAATTTTTTTTTTTTTGGCTTGTTTAGGTTTCTTGGTTTTAACAGAATATGAAATGTGAAATAGGAGGTTATGATAAGTTTTTTTTTTTTTTTTTTCTTTTAATTTTGTTTTTCTTTGATTTGCTAATTATTTTTTTTCCTTATTTGGATATCTTGGGTTCTGCTGTGATGCTTTGTTCAAGTTTTTGAAGTTTTATTGAAATGTGGAATCAGCACCTGTGTAGTATCATCATCATTACTAGTTTTTTCTATACAGAACTTGTTTGTTAATATACAATAATATCTTCATAGTAGTAATTTTTTTTTGTATATTTATAACTTAAATATAATGTAAATATGATATAAATATAATAAATTATATAAAAAAAAAGTTATTGTGTGATTGATTACAGGCTTTTACAGTGAACTTGTATTACAATTCTATGATTTAATAAAGTTTTATATATTAAAAATAAATTTTGAGTTTTGAAAACTTTGACTGAAGAAATCTCAATATTCACTTAATTAAATTTGATGAAAAGTTTTTATTTGAATTCTACAAATCTATATAATTCAAATAAAAAATTTTTTATCGAATTTGATCAAATGGGTGCCAAGATATCTTTAATCAAAGTATTAAAAATTTTGGTGCAGTTTTTATATAATAAACATTTAAAACTTTGATCGAAGATATCTCGATACTTACTTGATCAAATTCAATGAAAATTTTTTTATTTGAATTTTACAGATCTGTAGAATTCAAATAAAAAAATTTTATCAAATTTGATCAAGTGGGTGTCAAGATATCTTCAATCAAAGTGTTAAAAGTTTTGACACAATTTTTATATAATAGATGTTTAAAAATTCTCTAAAACTTTGATCGAAGATATCTCGACATCCACTTGATCAAATTTGATGAAAATTTTTTTATTCGAATTCTACAGATCTGTAGAATTCAAATAAAAAAATTTTCATTGAATTTGATCAAGTGGGTGCTGAGATAACTTCAATCAAAACTGTGTTAAAAATTTTGATACAGTTTTTTTATAATAGGTATTTAGAAATTTTCTAAAACTTTGATCGAAGATATCTCGACACCTACTTGATCAGATTTAATGAAAATTTTTTATTCGAATTCTACAGATCTGTAGAATTCGAATAAAAAAATTTTTATCAAATTTGATCAAGTAGGTACCGAGATATCTTTGATCAAAACTTTGTTAAAAATTTTGATACAGTTTCTATAATAGGTGTTTAGAAATTCTCTAAAACTTTGATCAAAGATATCTCAACACCTACTTGATCAGATTCGATGAAAATTTTTTTATTCAAATTCTACATATCTGTAGAATTCAAATAAAAAAAATTTCATCAAATTTGATTGTGTGGGTGTTAAAAATTTTGGCACAGTTTTTATATGATAGGTGTTTAGAAATTCTAAAACTTTGATCGAAGATATCTCGGCACCTACTTGATCAAATTCGATGAAAATTTTTTTATTCGAATTCTACAGATCTGTAGAATTCAAATTAAAAAATTTTCATCGAATTTGGGCATGTGGGTGTCGAGATATCTTCGATCAAAGTATTAAAAATTTTGTTATAATTTATAAATACTAATAGACAGTCTATCTGATGGTAAGGTCGTAATTCCGGGTTATACAAAGATCATCAACCCATCTGACATCAAGTGATCATCAAAATAGCAATCACGTGATTTCTTGCATTTTAATTGGTCAAAAGGCCAGAGATATAAAAGTTATATTTTCCTGACCAAAGATACCTAAAAATGTCCATAAAACAATATACAAATAAATTCTACGTATATATATCAATACATGTCGACCGGGTAAAATTGCTACCCAAAAAAGTTTCGAACATCACGTAGCAAATATGTAGAACACCAAAAATTCATGTAACTTGAACAAAAAAATACAAACAAAAAAATTTCAACTAACAAAATAATAAACTCTATAAACGTAATATTTATTACAACCAGAAAGTATTATGATTATGGGTTTTCTAAGCATTTGGAATATTTCATTGTCTTTTAAAATGATTAAAATCCTCCTCCAATTTATGCAATGGCCCAAAGTTTTTATTAATACTATCGAGCCATTTGTTACTAGTTGATTCATTATATTTTCTTCAGAATTCAGAATTATAAAAATTTTTTGCCCAAATAAATAATCAGAGTTATAGTCTTCCGGAAGAGCATTTAAAAATAAAGTCTACAAGGTTTTCTGGTGCAAATTACATTTTCTTGATTAGTTTTTATAATTTTATTTCGATTTTCATTTTTGTTTATTATTAGTGGAAATTGGGTTATGGCAATCGATGTATATTTTTAGAATATTGTGTTTATCGTTATTGATTTTTATGCCTTTAAAAGAATCATAGTTTGTCGAGATTGCAACGATCACTTTCATTTTGAAGAATCGAAGAAAATAAATCACTTACTAAATCAATATTTTATAAATATTATGATCCTAATGATAAATTGACAATATCACATGATTTTCGAAACTTTTTTGGGTGGCTCAATTACAAATTATGTTAATGCAGACCAGATATTATGTTAATGCAGCCAGATGATATGATGATATGATAATGCCGGTCAGATAATTTTATTTTGGGATCATATTAAAAATCCCGCGCGTGCCCATCTCTACCCGCATTGCTCAAAAAATAAATCTTACACTCTTAATGATGCTAAACGGGTTGCGAATAATAAAAATGGAGAATGCCTTTCAGAAAATTATATTAATAGTATGTTACCATTGCAGTGGAGATGTGCTGAAGGACATGAATGATATTCAACACTTAGAAACGTAAAATATTGTAATACTTGGTGTCCAGATTGCGCACATAGTAGACCTCTTATTCTTGAAGAAGCTAAACAAATCGCACATAGCAGGAATGGTGAGTGTCTTTCTATGATATTTGTTAATGTTCGTTCACCTTTGTTGTGGAAATGCGCTAAAGGGCATAAGTGAAGTGTTAGTCTTTCAAATATAAAATATTGTAATAGTTGGTGCCTATATTGTGCGGGTACAAAAACGTCTCACTCTTGAAGAAGCTAAACAAATTGCACATAGCAGGAATGGCGAGTGTCTTTCTGAGATATTTGTTAATATTCGTTCACCCTTATTGTGGAAATGTGCTAAAGGACATAAATGGCATTCAACACTTAAAATCGTTAAAAATAGTAACTCTTGGTGTCCATTTCCTGATAGTCAAACTATTGCTGATTTACAACAACAATTAAATGACAAAGACCAAATAATTGTAATTTACATAAACGTGAAAATTTATGTCGTGAAATTGCATCTAAATACCTTGGACCGCCATCAGAAAATTGCTGGCCAGGTTTTTTGAAAACATCAAAATATCCAACAGGTTTAGAACTCGATATTCCTTATTACCATTATGGATTTGCTATTGAAGTGCAAGGAGAACAACACGAAAAATATAACGAATTCTTCCATAAAGGAGATCCCAATAATTTTATTAAACAGAAGGAGCGGGATCAACTCAAGAAAGAATTGTGCGAAGAAAACTGGATTGTTTTAAGGTATGTCTGGTATTACGAAGACCCATATATAGTTATTCCAGAGCATCTTCGAGAATTGGGTCTTATTTAGTAAACTTAAAACTTTAAATGCATTACGGATCACAAAAGAAAGCACCTTCGTGAAAATTATAATCATATGTGCATTTTTATTACATTACTTAATTAGGATACAAAGCAAATTTTTTTTAATAAATGGACATAAAATGATATTTCTGATTTTCTTCCCCACTACTTTACACACATGTTTGCTATCTTGATACTTGCATTGTGAAATAATATTGCAACGAGTTTTCCTTCATCATCTATTTCTATCTCGACATCCTCAACATCAGTTTTTGGAATGTAGTCATGGAAATGGAATCTACAAAGTTAATTTTAAATATGTCACGTTCCTCATCATAAGTGTAAAGGATGGCTTGTCACTCGTTATCCCTCGAATATATTTTGATGTTGGATCTATACGAATTGCCATTATCTTGTCAGTCTGATTGTAATATACGAGAATGTATTTAGTTACATCTTCGGTAAGCTCATCGGGTTCCTCTGTAAATTTACTACA